TGTCCTTCCTGAGCTGAGGGCCCAGAATGGACACAGCACTCCAGGGGTGGCCTCCCCAGCGCTGAGTACAGTCGTACCAGCCTGATTTAAAGGAAGACAGTAATGGTTTTAAGAACAGACTGACCATTTCACTGTTTTCATCTGCAGTTACTGGTAAAATTGAGTTGAATCAGAAGCTCAAGCAGGACCAGCAGAGTCAGATTCAGCAGCTGAAGAGCACAGTGAACGAGCTGAGGGCGGAGAGGCTGCAGATTGTGAGCAGCATGCAGCGCCGGCGGCAGCTGGAGGAGCAGAGCGTGGAGCTCAGCACTGAGGTGCAGTCCTTGGGCAGGGAGATCAAGGTGAGAAATACCCTTTGTTATTTAACCCTTGGCCATGTCGTCCTTGAAATAAAAAATAATAATCTTGGTGTGTTAACACTGTCTCTAATCCTGGCCAGTGAGATGTGTTTTTAAGTGTTTGTCCTGTGCTGCTTTTGTGTATCTTGGGCAATATCCAGAACTTTATTAATATGTTTGGGGGTTTTTTTTAATACACCCAAAAAAGAAAAGTAACCACGTTGCTGTTTTTACCAGTTGAAAAATTACTGATTTTTAACGGAATGTGAAAATAAAAAGGACTTTTTCCAACTGCTTTTCAGGAAGCAAAAGAACAAGTATTTCCTTTGGATGCAACTTTAGAAAAACTGCAGCAGGAGAAGGAGGATCTAGTGAATAAAAGGACTACAAGTAATAAAGAAACACAAGAGAAGGTTTGTTTGCTCTTGGCATAGCTGGGAGATAGGATTAGATACTGTTTTTTGGGCATGTATGGAAACTGTGGTAATGAGTTTATTTTCAGGAAAGGGCAGTAACTTCAGCAGATGCTTGAAATTGGTGGAGCTTTTAGGGAAGAAAAAGAACATAAGTCAGACAGGACATGAACTCTATTGTAATTAACCTTTGGCAGTCTTGACAAACAATGTCTTGGGACATTTGGCAATATTTATTGGCCAATGGGTTGAAAAGCCCTTCCTGATAGACCTAAGAAAAATGGCAAAGGTGGCCATCACCTGTCCTTGCCAAGAGTCACACTTGCTTTTCCCAGGTGAAGGAGCTCTCTTGTGTAAGCACCATTTGTTTTGAGAGACATTTTCATGGTTATAAGGAGCATTTGGATCTCAAAAGCTGAAGGCTTTATTAGATAATTAAAGAGAGTTATGATAAGTGATTGTACTTTGGCAGTAGAGTTATCCAGTGTCTCATCTTTGATGCAGGGCACATCTGCTCGTGGACTTAAGACCACATTTCATTTGAAATCTTTTCTCTGCAGATAAATGGCATAAATGAGAAAGTTAAAGATATAAACAAGTACACGAAAGAAATTGAAAACTATATTCAACAAGGAAAAGAAGACTATAAAAAGGTAATCTAAAAACCAGACAATAAAAGGTTTGCATGGAAAGTACTTCTGTGCTTAAATCATATACCATTTTATTTCTTTAGCAAAAGGAGTCTGAACTTGATGAAGTAAATTCTCATTTGGCTGCCTGTGAGAAACAGAAGGAAAAGATAAGTAAAGAGATGGAAGTGACTCGACAAGATATTGACACTCAAAAGGTGGATGTGTTGGTTTAAGTATACTTTTTGAGGTTGAAATAATTCCTAGTTTTGGTTTAAATCTGCCTAGGTCTGTATTGGTGCAAAATTTTAATTCCTTCTAATTTATTTAATAAGCTGTTAGGCAAAATAGCTTCTATCCATGCATTAGGCTGAAAAAAATCTTGAGATATGTGTATGCAAATTCAAAAAACATTTGACTGTCATCTTATGGTATTTCCAAAAGGGTTAAGTCTGTTGGGATAGTAGCCAGAATTTTCAGGAGTGTCTTTGTGTGGAGAAAATGTGCCTTTTTAAGTAAAATACCAAAAGTTGCTAGTTACTCCAGATTTTATCATGTACTTTAAATTCCTGTGTATATATTTCAAATACTGCTTATGTTTTTCATAGGAAATATAATTCTTACCCATTCTACCCCCCCACTTACTGTCTAACTTGTAGAAGTGAGATAGGGGGCTTGGTTAAATCTCATCCTAAACTACTTACCCCATTTGAAACATTGATTAATATTCACACAGAATCACTTGTGTTCACTTGTGAAAGTAAATACTGTAAGTGTTACTCCAGTTTGAAAGCTGAAATAATACTGCTGATTTCCATTGTGCTCCATTTCTAGCACAAGATAAGTGCTCACTGTGATAATTTTGGTTGTTGCCAATTATTTTATGTTTGCAGAATGCTTAGAGTTGTACAGAACTCATACATTGTAATTGAGAACCAATATACTGAAACACTGTACACCTCCTTGCTTTCTGGGGAGGCAGGTACAGGAAAGGTGGCTGGAGGATAATCTGACTTTGAGGAGTCGGAATGAGGAGCTAAAAAAGGTTGAAGACAAGATAAAACAACTTATGAAGGAGATGGGAGAAATGAAAGTACCCCAAATGAAAAAGTAAGCACCTTCAAAACAGAATGGCTCTGCAGAAGAATTCAGGCAATATCTGAATGTTGTACTCACTGTGTTTTCGTGTGTCCTGGTCCTCTTTTCTCCCCAGACATGTAGACCACTTCCTTCACACCTGTATTTGCTTCACATCCCCATGACAACAACATAAATGACTCAGTGAAATTAAATAGTGCTTCTGGCTAGAAATAGAAATATGTGCTCATACCTGTTCCAACCTAATCCTTTTTCATGATGTTCACTGCTAAATCCACATTTAAATAATTCATACTTCTGGATAAGAATATTTAGTTTTCATTTTCAGTCTGCTCACTTAGGTCCCAGCAGCAAATTCTGTGTTTACCTCAGTAGTTTAATAATAATTGCTCAGATAATAAACACTTTTGAAAAGTAATTATCCCTCTGCTGGTTCTTGCATGTGAAAGATTTATTTAGCTTGCTAGAGCTTACCCAATAATTTTTCTTATTTTGCTCGGTGTATCCTAGTTAAATTCCACCTATGAAATTAATTATTTTTTATAATTCTGTTAATAGCACTTCAGCATTTGAACTTGACACCCTGCTTCTCCCACTCAGAATAGTGGTTTGAATATGTTCTTAACAAACTTTAAAATGTTTTTATTTCAATAATGTCTTTGTTTCAGTGGCATCAGTGCTATAATTTTAACTGTTACAGACTTTAAAGATACAATATAATGAGCTACTGTCTAGCATGAATGAGAACCCTGATTAAAAAATCGTGTAACCCTGAATACAAAAGACTTGTGTATCAATTATGGTTTCACAGTGAACAAAAGCATTTGGAGGAGAGAATAGAATCTCTGAAGAGGAACCATCACGTCGCCCTTGGCCGCCAGCGTGGGTTTGAGGAGGAGATTGTTCGGTTCAGGAAGGAGCTTCGAGAGCCACAGTTCAAAGATGCAGAGGACAAATACAGGGACATGATGATTGTCATGAGAACAACAGAGCTGGTGAACAAAGATCTGGACCTTTACTACAAGGCTCTTGATAAGTAAGTATTGTCACGTGAGGGTCATTCTGAAATGTTCTCATCTTTATCAATAACCTTGATGCAAAAGCAGCTTTCAATTTCAGGCTTCCAGGCTAACCTGGAAATGGTAAATGGATACAATTCTTTGAGATATATTACAATTTGTCTTTATAAATTCTGGCATTTAAATATTAGGATAACATAACAAGGTACAACTTTTAAAGTAAATTAATGCAACCACACCAGAAACTGCACAGGATTGGTATGATGTAGGATATCTGTAAGTTAATGTCTATAATGTACAAATAGTAAATACATTGATGGTAATAATTGGATTTTAATACAGTCATAGATAAGTGTGATGATAGTTATAATTTCATTCCCAGTTCTCTGTAGGACTTGTTTGTATGGTTGTACATGTTAGGACTCGTATTTGGAGTGCAACAGTTGGGGAGAGATAAGGAAAGGTGAAATCCATGTTTAAATCCATTATTAACCTGGGTCTCCCTGCTTTCATTTCTATAGCAGTGTCTTTTAGCACCTTCTGGTCATATCTTAACATGAATAAGATATGCCAGGTAGATTTTTTGTTTCCCATGATCATCTGCTGAGGTAAACTATTGTGTTTTTGATTATTACAATATAGAGGTGCTTTTTGCCCTTTTCCAGCGTGGGTGGTTTTGTGCTTATATCAAAGAAGGCAAGATCATAAGAAACACGTCTGGCATTTGATGGAAAGTGTAGCAAACTTTGTGATTGTTTCTGTTTCCTCTGGAAGCTTATTTGCTAGTCTTGGGCTGACTGGCCAAAAAGGGCATCTCCAAATTTGTGACCATGTACAAAGTAAAACATGTGGCTCCCTGAACTCCCCCAGTTGTAGTGGTGGAATAGCACCGAGCTATGTGTAATTCTTCCCTTCAGCTGCAGTGCAGATGCACTCCAAGAATTTCCTTTTTAGAATTAGGCTCTTTTTGTATGCTATCAAATCATCTATTGTTTCTATTTAAGGCTAAACAGGAAAACAGGCTTGTAATTTCAAGAAAAATAGATAAGCATCACTTATGGGTAATCGTCTGAAAAATCGGTGAGACAAAATTCTACCTCCAGTGGCCAGAGCTGGGGCTGGGAAAGCCAACACTGTGGGTGTTCTGTGCTATCAGCTGATCTTTATTGACTTAATATTTAGAGGTTGTGATAAATATTGATGAGGAATGCATTCTTGGGGTTAATTTAGTAAATTGTTGAAAACACTTTGGTTTTAACTTAACAAATTCCTATTAGACTTGATACCTCAATATTCCCCAGAGCAGGTAGAAGAGCAGAGGTGGGAAAAGTATATATAAAAGTGCATTTCAGAAGGATTATTTTATTTCTGCTATGCTTTTTGTGCTATGTTCGCTTGCCATACATTGAGCAAGCTTTTTTTTTTATTCTAGAGTAGTTTTTCTTTAAAAAACAAGTCAGAAATGCAGCATCCTGTCCTTTCCTGAACACTATCTAGGACTTTATCTGTTAATGAACTAAAATCATGCTGATATATTCACCAGGGAAATTAAATTCAAAATTATTAATGACATTCTGTGTTACTCTTGCTGCTGAAGAGAAAGGCAGTTCTAGTCATAATGCCTGTTTGGGTAATTATAAAATTACATTCTTGATAAAAATTCTCTGCTCTGGGGAGACTTCAGGTTCTCCTTTCCTATTGGTGATGGCACTGTTGGGGGACTGTGCTGAAGAGTAACACTTGTTCTGGAAGGCTTACCATGAGATTCATCTTCTTGGTGTCAGTTTGAAAATACACCTCACACATAAATTATAATTCTCTTGAAAAGTCAAGTGGAACAAGTGGAAATAACTTTATCCACATTACTTTCCTACTTCTTGAGACTGAGCTGTTTCTGACAATAGAATTATTTACACAATAGTGTGTCGTTAGTCTTTAAATGTTTCTGCATTCAAAATCAACTGGTATTTCCTCTATTTTTAGTAAAAGTGTTTAGGGAATGGAAAGGGAACCACTGCCTGCCCTAAAGCCCCTGTAGTCCATAGCAGTCCATGGTTGCATCTCTAACATTTTGTGGGTTTTGTTGCTGTTCTTTAGAGCAATAATGACATTTCATAGCATGAAGATGGAAGAAATCAACAAAATAATTCGTGACCTTTGGCGAAACATTTACAGAGGGCAAGGTTTGTAATGTTTTTTATTGGTTTATCCCATGTGTATCCTTTTGATATCGAGCACTGCATATGGAACAGTGTTTGTTCTCAAGATGGAAAATCTGGCATCTGAAAATAGTTGGTTTCATTGTAAAGGCCACATCTGTTCTTCACCACTGTAATCTTTTTATTACACATTAAAATTGCAGGATAAATAGAATACACAGTAAATTGCAGGATAAATAGAATTACTTTTCCCTTTTCTGTGTTTTCCAAAGGTAAGGTGTCCTTGAGGCAGAGGAAATGCAGGAGTTCATTCTTTCCATTTCGGAAAAATTAATTTCAAAGATGTATCTGTTAGTGGGAGTTCTGAACTGAATTTTTATTGTTACTGGATATTACACCTCATCTCCCTTTAATCCTGTGTTATTTTTAAAGATTTTTGATAATGTGAAAACCGTCTCCTTCCCATTTTCAGATATTGAATATATAGAAATTCGTTCTGATGCCGACGAGAACGTCTCAGCCGCTGATAAGAGAAGAAACTACAATTACAGGGTGGTGATGGTGAAGGGAGACACGGCCCTGGACATGCGAGGGAGATGCAGTGCTGGGCAGAAGGTGATGGCTTTTTGTGTTTAGTCCCCAGGGGTTCTGAGAGCAGACCCAGGTGGATGCAGAGGAGTCTCGTGTTCAGAAGGGACCGAAGCACAGGCGGCTCCAGCTCTGATTTATAGTTGTGTACAACTTCCCTCCACTGTCAACACACAGGGTGTTGCTGTCAATATATTATTCTGCAATATGTGATTCTGAACATCTGAACCCTGCATTGTTTCAGTTGGGCACCAGACTGGTTCCTTTCAGGGGTGAAGGCTTTGACTTCCCTCTCTCCTCAAGTTCAGCTCCTCCCAGTCTGAGGTTACCACAGCTTTAGGTCAATCAATTTGTTCCCATGTTTTTTATCTTCCTGAGCCTTTGGTCTTCTTTTTGCATCTACCTCTTAAGTTGACAGGACCTCTTTCCCTCCACATTTTGTTTCTCTCCTACTGCTGACTGTAACCTTTCAGTTCATGTCACCAAGCCATCCTTCCAGGTATTGCCTTTCCTTCTGTGCTGTCAGCTCACAGCTCTGTGCTCTGCCCATTCTTCTGTCCCAGTGCTTTAATAACACACTGGCCAAGTGGCCTCGTGTCACCAGCCATGACAGACCTGTGGTCAGAAGTTCCTCACAGCCACACCCCCACACGTGGGGGCTGCAGAGTTGTTTCCAGCTGCCTGGTGTGTTGTCTCCTGGAGCAGTTGAGATGTTGCGTTGCAGTCCTATGTAAATGAGAGCGAAACCTGAACAAGTTTCTGAGCCGATATTCTGAGAATTCTTTGATCATGAACTGAGGTGCCAGCAGTTGTGATAATTGGAAAATATTTTTGGCAGCACAGTTTCCATTGAGTGACCTGTAATTTGCACTAGTTCAAGAGATCTTACAGGTATGATTAGAGGCATGTTGATGCAAAACTAACATGTACAGTGGCAAACCCTGCTGTCTTCAGTTTTAGTAAGTAGTCAGGAGTTCAGTAACTCAAACTTAGTGATGCAGGCAAATTTCCACCCTCCCTGTGCAGTAGGATGGGCTTGCACAGAGAGTGGAGGTAATGCAGGTGGCAGTTTGTAGCTTCCTTACCTCAGATTAGAATCCTTACTTCCAATATCTCCTGAATTTTGAGTACTTGACTTCTTTGTAGAGTCCATCTTTCAATTCAGACTTGGAAGTTGTGATGTAGTTTTTCAGTAATTAATTAGTTATTGTCATTTTGTGAACTATCAGCACATTGTTCTGTAAGCTTCAGTCACAGATTGCAATGGAACTAAATAGTTCGTCACATGTAGAACCTCTTTAAACACTTTGGAGAGTGAGGGGTTTTTTGTTGTTTTTTTATTTCTTTCCATTAGGTGCTTGCTTCTCTTATTATTCGCCTTGCTCTGGCAGAAACATTCTGTCTCAACTGTGGCATCCTGGCCCTGGATGAGCCCACAACCAACCTCGACCGAGAAAACATTGAGTCTCTGGCACATGCCCTCATGGAGTGAGTGAGCTCTCCTTGTGACACTGAAAGATGGGTATTTCTCAGGTGGTCAGAGTAGGTGGCACTAGTGAATTACATTTTAAGATGGCACATCTTGGCACCTGCAAATACTCATGCAAAGCAGTCACCTTAAATTCCCTCTATCTGGAAAAGAAAAAGCATTTCTTAAATAATTTGAGGGGTTTTTTTTTTAATGTTGGTAAAAATAGTGGCTAATCAGCATTAGGTTGGTCAATGGTTATGGACAGCTGAATTTTTGTGCTGTGTGTTTACAAGTTCTCTAAAAGCAGCCCCTGCTTTAGATAAACACACACTCAGTAATATCTCCTTGCAGGATCATAAAAAGCCGCTCCCAGCAGCGGAACTTTCAGCTCCTGGTGATAACTCATGATGAAGATTTTGTTGAACTTCTGGGCCGTTCTGAGTACGTGGAAACGTTCTACAGGATCAGGAAGAACACTGACCAGTGCTCTGAGATCATGAAATGCAGTGTCAGCTCCCTGGGCTCCTATGTTCATTAGAACCTCCAGTGAGGACACGTTACAGAAGCCTGACTGATACGTTATACACTGCCTGGCTTGGCAGAGCTCAGGTGGAGGGGTCTGAAAATATGGTTCCTTTGTATTGTAACCTGTTGAACATTTGTCACAATTTTAGCCAGAGTCTAAAACTGTAAGACTTTTAAACTTCATCTCTTTCTACGTATTTCTGGAATTTCTTAGGAATCGCCATGATTTGAAAGAATTTAAATGAATACTAGGCAGTTTAATTTAGGTGTATTCTGTGCTTTAAAAGGGAAAATAAAGTTGTGAGTTCTTTGTTTATGTCCTGTTGGGGAGATCCATTGCAGATTCTCTGGAACAGCTGCAGCTCTGTCAATGGAATAGGGCCTGCCTTCCATCTCTGGCAAGGTCAGCAGGGGTGGGTGTCTTGTGTTCATAGCCACCCACCTGGTCTACCCAAAATTCACAAGCTTCAAATGGAACTTTTACTACTTTCTGTACAAGATAGCCTAACTCTGGCTGCTCAAAGACACAGTCTTCCCCAAGTCTAACAGCTTGTTTGAGAATAAAGCAAAGCCCTGTCTCTAACCAGAGGAATGAGTGAATTCTCTTTGCTCAGTGAGTTGTGTTCTGATTCTTCATGGCAGTGGTTGTGAATGTGAAAATGGTACAGAAGTGCCTCAGAGAGTTGATGTGTGTGGATGCTGAGCTTCACCTGCCCAGCTGTGGGTTTCCTTGGCATGGCAGCCTGAGGGAACCTGCTGCTCACTTGGGGTGACAATGGAAAGCCAAGGGCTGGCCTGTCCCAAAATGCAAAGGGCCTGATGGCCTTGAGTCCTGAAGGTGCAGACAGGAGTTCTCACAATGTGCCTTTCTGCCTCCAAAGCCCCAAGGGAAGGGACTTACCTGTCTCTCTTTATTTGTAGGCAAGTAGGAGGCACCTCTTCTGCCTTGAGCTCTTGGTAAGAGTCCACAAGCAGAAGCTGCACTTTAATTCTTTGAATCCTTGCAGTCAGCAGTGACCAGCTGAAGCTCCTCAGCAAACTGTGACCAAAGCTGTAACATGGGGATGGTTCTCTCTGGCTGAGAACATTGCCTGCTGTCTTCCTCCTCCTCCAGGGTGCAGGAATGCCTTTATTTTGCAGGGTGAGGAGCAGCTGACAGGGTTGGGGGTGTGGGCAGACCTGGCACCTGTGGCAGGGGTGAGGGGCACCCCTTAAGGGGTAATGGCAGAACACAAGCCCTTCAACTATGGATTATTTCCACCTCAGTTTTCTGAAAGCCACCAGTCATGGGAAACCACTCAAAGATAAGTGAATGAATGGGACTTCCTAGCAATTACGTTTTCACCAATTCCCCAAAAAAGCAATGAACACACAACTGGGGAGGGAGGTGGGGAGAGCAGGCAAAGGAAATGCTACTAACGGGCATCATGTTTGCAGTTTTAAACAAGAAGCATCACTGACTCTAGTACTACTTCCTGAAGGGAAATTTTCTTAAAGATACAATCAACAGAAAAAAAAAACCCTTTGAAATTTCAAGTTTTCCTGTGCAACTCGTTTATTTTAGCATGACATGTACACCCCAGCTCTGCACTGTCTTCAGAAGGAACTCCCCAACCTCTGTGTATTCTGAACTGCTCTTTCCCCCAAGCTAAAACCATGACTTGCAGTTTGTCTATGAAGTCCTTCGGGCACATTTTTGCCTAAACCAGCCTTTCTCTGCTCCCCAGCTGCAAAGTTTATCCTCACACACGTATTAAACATTTTGCCAGAACTTGGAAAAAAATACAGAAAACGCGGTGGGAAACCAACCTGTCCATTAAAATGACAAAAAATAATCCCCTTAATGATTTGAATAGTGTAGAGCACGGAAAAGAGACCACCAGCCCTATGGTTTTCATGTGGACTGGAAAACAAAAAAAAAAAAGTGCTTATGTGAATGAAGTGTAGGAGAAACTTTAAACACTTCTTGTGATCTGCCCGTGGGGACAGAGAGGTCTGGCTGTGCCACACCTCCCCGGGGCCCGTGGGGAGCTGGGTTGTGCTGAGGGGCCTCAGCCACCCCTGTGCCACCTCGGGGACCCCAGTGCCACCTCGGGGACCCAGTGCCACCTCAGCCACCCCTGTGCCACCTCGGGGACCCCTGTGCCACCTCAGGGAACCCTGCCCTGCCACAGCTCCCTGCCCTGGCACACAGGTGGAGGTGAAGGCAGCAAGAGTAGGAGGATGTCCCAGGAGAGGGGTTGTTGCCCCTACAAGATGCTACACAAAGTACAGAGCCAAGCAGAGACATCTTAGGGCAAACAAGGCACAGATTTACTGTGGTGACTCAGAGGGCAGGTGATTAAGTGGTGAAGAACCTGAGTGTCCACTTGCCATGGTGGTTGGAGTGAGGGTGGGTTTCCAGCAGAGAGATCCCAGCATAGGATGCTCTGCACAGCAACCCGTGCGCACAACTCCACAGGAACAGCACCCACCCAGACACACTGTGACTAAGAGCCAAAAGTAACAACTACAAAACTAACAACAGTAATGAGTGGAATTGCCATGGGATCAGGAGTTGAGAATCAGGCAGTTGCCTGGGATGGTGTTTGCAAAGCAGGCAGGCACCCAGCAGCTTCCTGAGAGCACCAAATGCTTCCCATGCCCCTACATCTTGCCCTGGAAGGGCCAGTTGGGCGTAAATCCCTTCCAAGGGATTTGGGTCTGGCTGCAGCTTCAGCCCTGGCAAATGCTTTTGGAGTTGGGATCTGGCATGAACTGCTCGTGCAAGAGACCTTCCTCCCCCCCTGTGCCCCAGCACCCACTGCTTCAGTGCCACGGCTTATTTTCAGTTTGTCTGCCAACAACTTTCACTAGGAAAAAAACCCAGAGGCCTCCAAGACATTCCTGTCTGAACACCTTGTTTCTAAGTGGAATTTAGACTAGCAATAGAAACCCAACACTTTGATTTTCTGATGTTTCCTTCAGTGTTAATTCTGCAGTACAGCTCTTCTTGCAGGCTGCTGCAACACCTGCCCCGGAGCACTTTGAGTTTAAAAACTTCCGAGAAGACTTTTTAATCAACGGAGAATTTTTAAGTTTTTTTTTTTAAATTTTAAATGTCTTTAAACCAAAACTGCTCTCTGATCTCCCTGAAGTAAAAAACTGACTTACAGAACATGTACCTCACTTCTCCCCACAGTTTCCTCCTACATGGCATGTTTTAAGCCAAAAGCTTTTGCATGCCCTAAAAATTACATTAAGGAGCCCAAACAGATGTGATTATCTACAACTAAACACCACAAACCAAAGCAATAAGTATAGATGATGCTTCCAAAAGCTTAATCATTTGCTGTCTCCCTGCAACTTTGCATTTAAATGTCACACCAAGTATCATCTCATCTATCTCAGTATGACAGGGTTGGCTGCCCCCCGGGCGAGCTGCCAGGAGCCAGCACTTACTGCACTCACTGCACTCACTGCACCATCCCACCTTTGGGAAATGTGAGGCAACTTGCCAATTCTCCTTCACCTGGCTCCATCCTACCTGTGTAGTCTGATTTTTGCAGGAAAAGTGAATTGCTGGAGTGTGCCTTTCCCTCCAGCTGCAGTGGCTGAAGGAAGGGGGATGGTTCCAGCACAGGGCAGCATCCCCTATTTGTAAACCCAATCACTGATTCAAGAGATACTGCATGTGCTGATGCTACACATTGCACTGTGACCCACATTTGGGCTTTTTTTCATGTTATAAGATGTCTTATTTAATTTCTCTGCCACCTTCTGAAAGTAAGGAACAGCACAAATGGCCTGGAAAACGTGTGGTGGCTTCTCCATGAGCATTTGGTAAAAGAAGCAGCTGAAATAGTGCTGGAAATGAGAAAATGGTTAGAAGGGTCATCTAAAATCAGGCCCTCACGAAGAACCTGAAGTTATTTATATCACCTCAATTAAAGCATCCACTGGACCTCCTGAGTTCTGACATTGTGTCTAATGCCACGATCCCATCCTGTCCCTCCACAAACCCTCCACCTGCCACAGGGATGAATTTGGCTGCCAAAGCAAAGGTGGGGAGGTGACTCAGTTGCCTCCCTTTGCTCAGACTGCCAGGGAGGGGCAGCTGAGCACGAGGAGGCTGTGGGGGAAGGAAAGGCACCCGGGAGGAGCAGATGCCCTTCCTGCCAGCGGTGCCAGGTCCTGTCCCCACCCTGAGCTGGGGTGGCCAAAGCAGCCAGGGGGGAACTGCCAACTGCCACAGTGATGGCCCAGCACCAAGACAAAGCTACTGCCTCTTTGACTGGGGAGTCACAGATTCAGCCCAGCTAAAGTTATGGACTGGCATTCCCCTGTTTCCTACAGAGCCAGGGAAGAGAAGGGGAGGCTGCCACAGGGAGCTGTACCCCTCAAATCTGACAGCAATTGGTCATACCTGTTTCTTTCCACTGATTTCATCAATTCCATCCATGTCCACCAAGGCCATCCCATGCTGGTGGTGCTCAGGGCTCCAGCCAACCCCACCGCTCTCCATTCGTGTGTGATGATTGTGGCATCCAACCTTGGCTCTGCTGCTGGGGGGAAAAAAAAGAAAAAAAAAAAAGAAAAAAAAAGGAAAAAAAAAAGAAGGAAGAAAGCCATGACTTTGGACACAGAACAAAGCACAATTTCTTGGTTTGATTGCACTGAGGGTCTTTTCAGCTGGCTTCTCCATTTTCTGGTGTCATCATCCACAGATGGAGGAATGGAAAGTCCCAGCCAACACCAGCCTGGTGTGCACCATCACCCTCCAGGCTCTCCCACTCGTGGAGGCAAGAGGAGTGTGAGACACCTGAATTAACCACTTGGATCATTTTTCTGAATTGGTTGGGACCAATGTGGCTTAAATCAGTCATGAAGGGCATAGGGTAACAAAGCACTGTAGGCACACACCTCTGGCTGCAGCTGGAAGCAAAACCAGCCCTTCCATGACAAGGAGACCCAGTTCAGGCTGGGCTCACACACCGGGGCTCTGTGCCCACCCTGGCCAGCAGCACTGGGCTCAGGGACGTGGTGTCCCAGCTCTGTGTGCCCCAGTCCCTTTGGGAAGGACAGCTTGGTTGACCAGGAGCCTCAGCAGGAGTTCCTCTGGTTCCTGCAGGGATGACACCGATGGCTCTGTCCCCCCTCCCCAGCCCCCTCTCAGCACTGTTTCTCAGAACTGGTCTCCACTTTCCAGCCACCATTTCCCACCCCACAACCCCAATGACACCACAGGTCAACTTTTCCCCCCAGCAGGCTCCTGACCCCCCATCAACAGTCTGGGGAATGATGGGATCTCCCTGTGGGAGGTGACACAGGCTCTCCACACACAGTTTGCAGGTGGGGTGTTCCCAGCCATGGGGTCCCCACTCCCCACAGCCCCCACAGCCCTGTGACCCTGCTGGGACCATGGTGCCATTGCCAGACCCCAAAGCACAGCAGTGGAATCTTTCCTGGGGCCATGGTGCCTCCTGCTCCAGCAGTTTGGCTCAGGGGACACGGGCTTTGGGACAGGCACACACACACACTGTGCTGAGCTGCCCAGGCACACACCAGCCCCTCCACCTCCCTCCTGATGCCATGGGAATCCTCCAGGC